TTTGGGCAGTAAGGCCATTTTCATGATATTGATTCTTTCTATCCATGAGCATGGGCTGTTTTTCCATTTGTGTCATCTCTGTTTTCTTTAAGCAGTGTTTTGTAATTCTCATTGTAGAGATCCTTTACCTGCCTGGTTAGCTGTAGTCCTAGGTATTTAATTTTTTTGGTGCCAAGTGTGAATGAGAATGTGCTTCTGATTTGATTCTTGGCTCGAATGTTGTTGGAATATATGAATGCTACTGATCTTTGTACACTGATTTTGTATCCTGAAACTTTGCTGAAGTTATTTATCAGCTGATGAAGCTTTTGGGCCAAGACTATGAGGTTTTCTAGATACAGAATCGAGTCATATGCAAACGGGAATAGTTTGGCCTTCCTCTCATCCTATTTGGATGCTCTTTATTTCTTTCTTTTGCCTGACTGCCTAGGGAAGGGCTTCCAATACTATGCTGAATAGGAGTGGTGAGAGAGGGCATCCCTCTCTTCTGCTGGTTTTCAAGGGAAATGCTCCCAGTTTTTGCCCATTTAGTGTGATGTTGGCTGTGGGTTTCTCATAGATGGCTCTTTTTTTTTTTTTTTTTTTTTTTTTTTTTTGAGACGGAGTTTCACTCTTGTTACCCAGGCTGGAGTGCAATGGCGTGATCTCGGCTCACTGCAACCTCCACCTCCTGGGTTCAGGCAATTCTCCCGCCTCAGCCTCCTGAGTAGCTTGGATTACAGGCATATGCCACCATGCCCAGCTAATTTTTTGTATTTTTAGTAGAGACGGGGTTTCACCATGTTGACCAGGATGGTCTCGGTCTCTTGACCTCGTGATCCACCCGCCTCGGCCTCCCAAAGTGCTGGGATTACAGGCTTGAGCCACCGCGCCCGGCCCCATAGATGGCTCTTATTATTTTGAAGTATTTTCCTCTGATACCTATTGAGAGTGTTTAATCTGAAGGGATGTTGGATTTTATTGAAAGCCTTTTCTGCATCTATTGAGATGATCATATGGTTTTTGTCTTAAGTTCTGTTTATGTGGTGAATCACATTTATTGATTTGCATATGTTGAGCCGACGTTGCATCCCAGGGATAAAGTCTACTTGATCATAATGGATTAGCTTTTCGATGTGCTGCTGAATTTGGATTGTGAGTATTTTGTTGAGGACTTTTGTATTGATGTTCATCAAGGACAACAAACTTGGCCTGAAGTTTTCTTTTTTGTTGTATCTCTGCCAGCTTTGGTATCAGGATGATGCTGGACACACGGAATACGTTGGAGAGGAGTCCCTCCTCCTCAATTTTTTGGAGTAGTTTCACTAGAAATGGTACCACTTCTTTGTACATCTGGTAGAATTAGGCCGTGAAACTGTCTGGTCCTAGGCTCTTTTTGATTGGTAGGCTATTCATTACTGATTCAATTTCAGAGTTCGTTACTGGTCTGTTCAGGGAATAAATTTCTTCCTGGTTCAGTCTTGGGAGGGTGTATGTGTCTAGAAATTTATCCATCCCTTTTAGGTTTTCTAGTGTGTGCACAGAGATTGCAGTTTCTGATGGTTATTTTTATTTCTGTAGGGTCAGTGGTAACATCCCCTTTGTCACTACTAATTTGTTCATTTGGATCTTCTCTCTTTTCTCCTTTTCAGCTACTGGCCTATCAGTTTTTTTTTTGCAAAACCAACTCCTGGATTTGTTGATCTTTTGAATAGTTTTTCCTGTCTCAGTCTCCTTAAGTTCAGCTCTGATTTTGGTTATTTCTTGTCTTCTGCTGGCTTTGGAGTTGGTTTGCTCTTGCTTCTTTAGTTCTTTTAGTTGTGATACTAGGTTGTTCATTTGCGGTCTTTCTAACTTTTTTTTTTGGAGACAGGGTCTTGCTCTGTTGCCTAGGCCAGAGTGTAGTGGCATGATCTTGGCTTACTGCAGCCTCAACCTCCTGGGTTCAAGCAGTCCTCCCACTTCAGCCAAGTAGCTGGGACTACAAGAGTGTAACATCATATCTTGCTAACTTTTTTGTATTTTTTGTAGAGATAGGGTTTCACCATGTTGCCCAGCTTGGTCTGGAACTCAGCTCAGGCAATTTGCCTGCCTCAGCCTCCCAAGTGCTGGGATTACAGGCATGAGCCACCATACTCAGCCAACTTTTTGATGTGGGCATTTAGTGCTATGAATTTTCCTCTTAACACAGCTTTAACTGTGTCCCAGAGATTCTGGTGTGTTGTGTTTTTGTTTTCAGTTTCAAATAAACTCTTGATTTCTTCCTTAATTTTATTATTTATCCAAAAGTAATTCAGAAGCAAGTTGTTTAATTTCCATGCAATTGCATGGTTTTGGGCAATTTTAAAGTCTTGATTTCTATTTTTATTGTGCTGCAATCTGAGAGTGTGATTGGTATGATTTCAGTTCTTTTGCATTTGCTGAGGATTGTTTTATGTTTGGCTTTGTGGTTGATTTTAGAGTATGTGCCATGTGGCCATAAGAAGAATGTATATTCTGTTATTTGGGGATGGAGAGTTCTATAGAAGTCTATCACATCCATTTGGTCCAAGGTTGAGTTCAGGTCCTGAGTATCTTCGCTAATTTTCCACCTTTGTGATCTGTCTAATACTATCAGTGGAGTTTTGAAGTTTCCCACTACTGCTGTGTGGGAGTAGATTTCTAAGAACTTGCTTTATGAATCTGGGTGCTCCTGTGTTGGGTGTGTATATATTTAGGATATGTGAAATGTAATTATTAATGTAATGGCAGATATGAGAGATTTGGTTGTTGCTCTCTTGGGACATGACCACTTTTCTTTAACATTAATAAATCTTATGGTTGGCCCCTCCCTATGCATTAGTATATTTATATATAAAAAGCATCCCATACACGTTTATTGAACTTGCTTCTTATGTTTCTTGTGTTTGTGACAAAAGAAGAAAGTAAATAAACAATAGTTACTTAAAAGAAGGCTAAAATTATGAATTAGAATTTATTCAGTGCTGGGCCAGCTGTGGTAGCTTATGCCTATAATCCCAGCACCCTGGGAGGCCAAGACTGGAGGATCAGTTGAACTGAGCTTGAGAGTTCGAGACCAGCCTGGGGGCAACATAGCAAGACCTTGTCTGTATTAACAAAAATAATTTATTCACTATATTTTACCTATTTGCAGAGGAAACAAGTCAAATCTTGGCTGTTTCCAGAGTCCACAGCTATGCTGCCTTTTAATTTCCAGCTATAAAATTACTGCTGATTCAGGTATAACTATTTTGAAGAAAAGTGGAAACAGAATGCTTGGGTCTAGGCTATTGGTTCTCAACCAGGCATGATTTTGCCCCTTGGGAGCATGTGGCAGTGCCTGGAACCATTTTTGGTAGTCTCAACTGGGGAGGGGTGGCTACTACTACCATTTAGTGGGTGGAGGCCAAGGGTGCTCTAATGAACATCTTACAGTGTACAGGGCAGCCTGCTCACTTCTCCAGCAAAGAATTATCTGGTCCAAAATGTCAATAATGTCCCTATTCAGAAACCTGGGTCAAGTGTTTTTGTTTTTGTTTTTGTTTTGAGACAGGGACTCACTATACTGCCCAGGCTGATCTTGAACTCCTGGGCTCAAGTGATCCTCTGGCCTCGGCCTCCCAAGTAGCTGGAACTGTAGGCATGGGCCACTTTGTCTAGCCTAGGTAAAGGCAGAAAAGACAGAATTCTGTGTTAAGTGTTGATATTTAGACTTGTTAGGAGTAGAGGTAAAATGTGATAAAGAAAGAAAGTTGATCATCCTTATACTAACTAAAACCACAAATACATTTCAGGAATATTGGTGGCTATTTCCATTGTATTTCATGGTTCTGTATGATATAGTCATTTATACCATCAGTAAACAAGCTGAGAGGTCAGTGTTTGTTTTTTTTTTCTTCTGTAAATGACATCTGATCTTATTGTGTAATATAGGAAGACAGAAAGCTTTTTGATGGTACTGAAATTCTTCCATTTATAAATAGCTTTTACCTGTAACCTTCAAAAATACGCACTTTCTGGCTTAGTTTTCTAATAATTATTTTCCTGTTCTTTAAAAATAATTCTGTGGACATTTAAAATCATCTGGTAAAATTATCACTGTTCTTTTAATAAGTAACATAGTTCATGGCAGCAGTTTTACAGTAAAGGAAGGTTGTTGTGAAACTGCTCGATTCTGGGAAGATACAATGTTCACTCTTTTTTTTGCTTAGAAGAGATGGCAAAAGAAGAAAGAAGCCCAAATGCTATGCAGTTCTGCATCATTCAACCTGGCAATGGCTTCTTTTCCCTCCTGCCCTCTCACCCCATTGTTTCTGACCCAATTCTCTGTGTGTTTGTATGTAATACTTTGGTTGAGAGCTGTTCTTACGCATAATGCAGTCAGAAGCTTGCCAGTCTAATGACTATGCTAAGAAAATTAAATGTAAAAGTATTAACAAAATAGAAGAATCAGTGTTCAATGGAAAAAGAGCTTTATTTAAAGTGCTATGATCTGTACAAGTTAATTTTTCTCCTCTAAAATTTTAATATGGCAGCGATAGAGATCCTTATCCTAGATCATCAGGCTCATTGGGATGAAACTGTGTATAGCAGGCATCCCCAAACTACGGCCAGTGGGCCGCATGCGGCCCCCTGAGGCCATTTATCTGGCCCCCCGCCGCACTTCAGGAAGGGGCACCTCTTTCATTGGTGCTCAGTGAGAGGAGCACAGTATGTGGCCGCCCTCCAACGGTCTGAGGGACAGTGAACTGGTCCCCTGTGTAAAAAGTTTGGGGACGCCTGGTGTATAGCAAGGTGGTCTGTGTATCTGCATTATGACATTAGCCTTGAGTGGAATCTAATGACTTTGAGGCATCTATAATCAATAATGAGAATAGTAACAAATGAGCTAAATTAAGCACAGAGTGTTTTTATTTACTTTGTAATTTTAATTTTTTTGGCATCCAGAATACTATGGAATCTTTAGCAGTTCTTTAAATATTTGTTAAAATTCTAATTGTTGGTGTTCATATTTTTGACAGGCTTTACACTTTAGAAGGAAAACTTGTTGAGAGTGGAGCAGAATTGGAGAATGGGCAGTTTTATGTGGCTGTCGGCAGAGATAAGTTTAAGAAACTTCCTTACAGTGAGTTACTTTTTGTTAAGTCAACAGTGAGAAGGCCTTATGGGTAAGTCTTAGTTCTAGTTATTCACTCCTCATGCTTTAGTTATCACTTGAAATAGCACTGGGTCTTTTGCTGACCACTATTACATTTTATGTAACTGATAATCTTATTTATCACTTAGAATGGAAAGCATATATGATATATATTGATCTTTGTTTTTATTTCCATGATGGGAGACTGAGTGTTATTGCACAAAAATATAATTTCTGGGAATTTATGAAAGACTACATAGTATTTTTTTTAGAATGCACGAAATTTATAGTAAATGCAAAAATTTATTCTTTTGAAGAAGATACAGGGCAATGAGCTTCTCTACGGCACACATTATTACAAGTTTTTGTGTTTTTTTTTTTTTGAGGTGGCATTTCACTCTTGTTTCCCAGGCTGGAGTGCAATGGTATAATCTCGGCTCACCACAACCTTGGCCTCCAAGGTTCAAGCAATTCTCCTGCCTCAGTCTGGGATTACAGGCATGCGGCACCACTCCCAGCTAATTTTGTATTTTTAGTACAGACAGAGTTTCTCCATGTTGTTCAGGTTGGTCTCAAACTCCCGACCTCAGGTGATCCACCTGCCTTGGCCTCCCAAGGTGCTGGGATTATAGGTGCAAGCCACCACGCCTGGCGTTTTTGTGTCTGAATAGTTGCTAGACCAAATCACTTTTCAGTTGGTTTGGATAGCAACATCCCAGAGTGTTAAAAAAAACCCCTATTATTTTATACTTGTTTTAAGAATAACTGTAAAATATAAAAACAACGTAATCCCACTTACACAAATAGAGAGGATGGGTGTACAGTTAATGCGTTTAAGATTTTAAGGATTATGCTTCTAATTACAATGTACTATACACAGTTTTCCTCCATCAAATGTCATATATTTGTGAAAGATGCTTTATTTCAGCCAAGGGGCTATGCTGCAGAGTCACTCAGGAAGAGCTCTGGGCCCTGCCGCAGGACCGCTCTCGGCTTGCTCATGCTGCACGGGGATCCATCTCTGTTGCTTTTCCCAGAGATCCTGTGACCCCGTTGCCATTGCAAACCCATTTGTGTGTGTGTGTGTGTGTGTGTGTGTGTGTGTGTGTGTGGTTTTCATCTGCAGAGATAGAGCAGAATGTTACCAACGTATTTTCCATTAATTCACTGTTTGTGTAACTTGATGGAGAAGCGGGCCAAGAGCTTCTAAACAAGTAATAGATGACATGGAATTTCAGAGGTGTGTTTGAACTATGCAAGAGCACATGGTTTTCTAGCACTTCTGAATTATTTACCAGCTGACTTATTGCTAACCAACCTTGCCTATCCATGAAATTAAATCCTTTAACCACCTTTCCTGAGCAACTCTGGGTTAATTGCTATGAGCAACAGTGTGTACTTGATGGTGAAAGAAAACTGTAACTCATGTTTGTCCTTCTCACACAATTAGTAAGAATTATTTTTATATATGTGTCCTTCTGGAGAGATTCAGTTGGGTTTTCAACATGGATATCAACAAAACAACTTATCCTAATAACACGGATATCAACAAAACAACTTATTCTTATAGTCTAAAAGAATTTTTAATTTTTTGGTGAGGACAACTGGTTTAAAAACTACCTGAATGCAAATGGCAGTGTTTTACCTCTACTCTTCTATCAGAGGTAGACATAGTAGACATCAGAGAAACAAAGGAAATTTGTTTTTAACTCAGTCTGGAAAAATCATCACTCACATTTGGAAATGATTTTTTGAAATGCAAATAGAACACTTTGTGATCTGGATAAAAATGCTCTACCAATTTCAGGTGATACCAAAAGCTTATTTTTAAACATTGATTAAAATAGTATACAAGGAAACATTAAAAATCTTTTGGGATGGAATTTGGAAATTTTGTGATCTTTGTAACATAGGTGAAGTGTATGGTAAAGTGTAGGTTACCTTTTGTGAAGCACAGATAGCAGCAAACAGTTGACTTCCAGGTTGGGATGATAATTATCTTGCATTGTACATTATTTGTAAATACGATCCAGATTTCTAAATTGCAATTTGTTTCCACAGTCAGAAAGCTTCTTCACTGCCTCCTATTGTAGGATCCAGAAAGTCTAAAGGGAGTGTAAGTATCAGATGCTTTCCTTGTTAATGTTCTGTATTTTTATGATACAAAGACACTGTTCTTTGGGTTTCATTTACGTTCCAAGAGATAAAACTTAGCCGCTTTGTGGCATATAAACAGTTATGTGAAACAGCACTAGAACTTTACCGTTACAACTATCCTAAACAGAGCTAACATTTTTAGAATATATATGTTAACATTTTTCCTTGTGTATACACCTGACATAATTTACATTGTGCTGAAAATCTTGGCAGTAATACGTGAAACTATAAGAACTATTGTAGTAAGTCACATCAATGATCATCTAGTCTTGGTTTCTATCTTTAACAAAGGCTAAAAGGGAAGTTTTGGTGAGAAAAGGGGTAATCCTCATTTATATTCCTTGAAAAGCCTGAGAATTGTTCCCAGTATTTAGTTTGCCATCCAGATTTTTTCCATTTATCATTTATTCATCGTTTGTTAGTTCAGCAAACATTTATTAAATACCTACTCTGTGGGAGCAGTGACAGCTTTCAGTAGGTCATTTCCTGATCTACTTGTATTTCCAGTCTGTGCTCCACGATGGGGTGAGCTCATGTCAGGCCGGAGGGTCGCCTCGGCAGTTCTTCCTGATGGATGCTTCTCTTCCTTCTCTTTTGCTTGAATTGCCTGACAAGTTGTGATCAGAACTGATTTGACATCCCCCTACCAATACCCTGAATCAACCAAGCAACATTCTTCATTTGGTATTCTGTAAAGTAAATGATTTCTAGGAAATGATATCGCCTAATGATTTAGATCCCTCCTTTTTTTGTTATATCACGTGCAATTCTTGAAAGAAAGAAAAATAATTTTGTGTATATTAGTGCTGAACTCAGCATAGCAGATATTTATTAAGAACTCATTAGCTGAGACTGTTGTACTATTTATGACAAAAATAAAATAAAAATCAATGTAGCTCTTGCCCTCAGGCAACCTACCCTCTACTTGAAATAAAGAAGATAGCTTAAAAAGGTAAGAAGCTAAGGTGAAACACCAAATATGTCGAGACTGGTGACCATGAGAGGGAGGGAAGGAATGAATGGACCATGGCAGCGGTTCACAGAGGAAGTTGAATTTGAGCTCTGCCTTTGAGACTGTTTAAAATTCAGAGAAAGGTAGCTGAGGGGAGAGGGCCTTCAGGTCCAAGGGAGGGTGAGAGGATCGGAGCAGACAGGGGCATGCGAAGAACCAGTCACGCTGGCTGACACTTACTGGGCATTGACGACTCAACGCTAGGCCATGCTCTTTACACGAGTGATTTATTTAACCTCACCCCACAAAGCAGGCATCTTTGTCATCTGCGTTTAAGAAGGAAATGAGTACAGGAAGTTCTCAGAGGAGAAGCGACATGTCCAAAAGCTCCCATTGAAGGCAGAGGTTGCAGTCAGCTGAGATCGAGCCACTGCACTCCAGCCTGGGCAACAGAGTGAAACCCTGTCTCAAAAAAATGAAACAAAATAGCATAACATAAAATACAAAGGCTCCTATTGAGCAAACAGCAGGGGAGGAATTGCTTCCACACAGCTGGCCCAGAGCTGCTGCTCCCGAGCCCCAGGTCAGTGAGTCCCTTAGGCTGACTGGATCAGATGGTCCTTTTTGGCGTGGGGGCTCCTGTGCCTGACGTGGTGGGTGGTGGCAGTTATTATGTGGCCTTGAACAAAAGAATGAAAAGTCTAGTCTTTATCCTTCTGAGCGGTGAGAATTTTAATCTGAGTCCATATGGGGAACATCAGATCTTGTACATGGAGAAAGACTTCACATGGTGAGAATCCATAGATAAGTCGAAGCTTGTGAAGCAGTTGCAGCTGTCTTGGTATAAGGGGATCAGAGTCTAGACGGGGGAGGTGGCAGAGGCGGCAGGAAGTGATGATTGTTCAGGAAGAAACCAGGGAACAAAGGATTTGTGTGATGACTGGATACAAGGGGTTAACGGAGAGGAAAGGAGAGGTTGGGGCCACAGATAACTGAGGTTTTTAAGCTTGGAATCTGAGAAAATGATCTGTGGCCAAGAAGAGGGCAGTCAGAGCAAATACTGACCTAGATAATTTCAAACATGTTGATTTGGAAGTATTATCAGGAAATGTAGTTTAAAGTGTGTGGCAAGCAGTTGTAAATGGCAGAGCTGAGGCCGGACAAGGACCTCAGGATTGAAGTTGTACAGTTGCAGCCATTTTTTTTTTTTTTTTTTTTTTGAGACAGGGTGTCACTGTGTCACCCAGGGTGGTGTGCAGTGGCATGATCATGGTTTACTGTAGCCTTGATGTCCAAGTCTCAAGTGATCCTCTCACCTCAGTCTCCCGAGTAGCTGGGACTCCAGGCATGCGTCCCCGTAATTTTTGTGTTTTCTGTAGAGACAGAGTTTCATATTGTTGTCCAGCCTGTTCTCAAAGTCCTGGGCTCAAGCGATCGGCCTGCCTTAGCCTCCCAGTGTTAGGATTCCACGTGTGAGCCACTGCACCTGGCCTGAGTTACAGATTTGACCAGCCGTGGAATGGTCCTCATTGAAGACCAGACATGGCGTTACTGTGGTGCTTCATCACCCAGCACAGCTTGCACAGAGCACGTCTCAGCGGTGCTACCAAGTGAGAGAATGGATGAGGGAGCCTGCAGGAAGACAGTGCAGTGAGAACCGCAGAGGGCCCAGGCTTGAGGCAGCCTAACTTCACAGGTGTGGGGTGAAAGAGGAGTGAGAAGAATATTTCAGTAGTTGAAAGATATATCATAGCTACTATAAAGCTAAATAAAACCCGTGAATTTAGGGATTGGAAATTGTATTTTGCTTTTTTGTTGGTTTGTTTTTCTTTAGGACTCTGGAGCAGATTCCCTTCTGTGTCCTGTATAGATAATAGCTTGTTACTTCTTACACTATAGCTGGAGGAATGACAGTGAAACAGAGACCCATTGTATTTGAATAATTGACCCCAAGTCACAGGGAAAGTCGATGTCAGGACAAAAATCATGGCCCACCTCTTTGCATTCACAGTGACTGAACTTTGGAATTACATGTTTGCTATTCTGAAATTTGAAAAACTAAAATTTTCATTGAAAATGGATAAAGCATTTCTTGCTTTAAAATGCATGTGTAGGTACATACATACAGTTGTATTTCTTGCTCATTTGGAAGTTTATTAGACTGTATGCTGTGGATACTGGGACCCATCAAGGGCATCACATCAGTTCATCTGATGATTGAATTTTCCACGTGTATGACAAGACAGTAAGCTCCAGGGATACAGCAATGAACACAAAGATTGGATGCTCTCTCTGAGACTCATGGTCCACTCAAGGAGACAAAAGTGAAACAAACGATTCCATAAATCAACAGATACTTAGGAAGTATGATAGAAATGAAAGGAAAATGCAGAGTCATATGAGAGACGAGAAAAGGAAAACAAGATCGGTGTGTCAGGAGGAAGTGATGTCAAACAAAGACTCGAAGTCATAATGTATATTTACACCTCATAGAAAGCAAAGACGAAGTTGTCAAGTGTAGTTTCACACTATGACTTAGAAAAATAATATGGTAGCAGAGTTTGTCCCTCTTTCTGAAGTGTGCCCGTAGCACTGTGTATTCAGGTACCCCATCCGTCATCCATTCCAAACACATTCACTGAGCACCTACTCAGTGCCAGGAACTGCTATACGTCCTGAGCCTGGAGTGGTAGATAGACAAGGACCTGGATTTCATGGTGCTTTCATTCTAGTGCATGTGTGCATGCGTGCGTGCGTGTATGTATGTGTGTGTTTGCGGGGGTTTGGATGGGAAGGATGAGAGAACTAGTAAACAAATGTACAAATAAGGATTCCATCTCTGGCTCCCCTTCGACCATTCTTGTGGAAGCTTACTCTCTCTCCAGAATTTCCCCCTCTGGAGTCCCCTTCCACTCGGTGTGGAAGCTGCTTTCCTCTCTGGGATTCCATACTTGGGTTCCCTTCCACAATCCTCGTGGAAGCTTTCTCTCTCTCATCTTTCTCGTTGCCTAAATAAATCACTTTCTGCAAAAACAACAACAACAACAACAACAACAACAAAAGCCACACACACACACACACACACACGCACACACACAAACAGAGATGTACAAATAATTTCAGATGGTGATAAGTGCTGTGAGGATAAGAAAATGTGGCAGGGCATTGCTTTCTATAAACTTGTCTAAAACTGAGACCTTAGTGATGTAACAGAGCCAGCTGTGCAGGGATGAGGCAGGGGAAGAAGAGCATCCCACGAAGAGGAAACAAAGTCACACAGGCCCATGCCAAAGAGCCTGGCACACGAGGAGGGCAGAAAGAAGGCCAGGGTGCTTGGAGCTGAAATTGGACAGGCAGGCAGGGCGCAATCAGGCAGCCATGCAAGGAATTTGGATTTTATTTCTCAATAGGGTGCCATTTGAGGGTTATAGGAAGGGAATGATATAATTTGCTTCACATTTCTAAGTGCTCATTCTGGCTACGGTAGGTATAGGGAAGTGGATCGGGGCAAGAATAGAAGCAGGAGGCAGTGGGACGGCTGGAGTACAGGAATGTGATACAGGTGAGTTTGATAGGTGGCCGCAGTGGGTGCAGACATCTATTATTACTCCTCTTTTAGCATATTGTCATTGATGGATTCATTGATCCAACACCATTTATTGAGTTCATATGATGTCCTGGGCACTTTTCTGGTGCGTCAGGGGCCAGAGATTCTAAAATACTAAATGCATGGAGGTTACATTCCAGCAACAAATGCACGATACATGTGATATCCACTAGGGATAAGCATGAATAAAAATACATGAAGACATGGGAAGAGGAGGTGAAAGAGTGTGCTATTTCAGCTGGGTGGTTGGAAAGGCCTCTTTCGGGAGGTTACGTTTGAGTAGAGGAGAATAACCCCTGGCACGGTGCCCAGTGCCTGCTAGGCTCTCACAAACTCAGCTTAGGCAGCGTGTGAATGTTTGGCTTTGAGCCACACAGAACTTCCTATGCCAGTAAATCCA